TATCATTGTATCTATTGTATTTATAATATTAAAATTATTACACTCAAAAAAAAAATTTTTTACTAAATTTGAAATTAAAATTAAACCAAATTTAGTACAAAAAAAAAATTTACTTACTTTTATATTTTTGCATCACTCAACATTTATCAATTCTTTAGTAACTAATTTTGAAATTAATAATAAATTTTGAAAAATTACCTGTGATATAGTATGAGCAAGATGATTTGACATAATTTCGGCATCAATAGCTATACCCGTTATTGATTGATCGAATGTATCTAATGTTAAATTAATCCTAAAATTTTGAAATAATAAAAATTTAAATCAATATAGTTTAATTTTTTTTTTTAGAAAGTAAATAAATATTACTAATAAGGAAGTACGAAATATATGAGATAGGATGAATTAATATAAGGTAAAGGAGGCATTAGAGGGAGAGAGAGAGAGAGAGGAAGAGAGTTAGAAGAAAATGATTTTACCTGGATGCAAGTTGTCCAATTTGTGAATTAATATGTCCAACTAGGTTACCTAATTGAGCTAATGTATAGCTTAGCTCTTCAATTGTCTTATCCACTGACATGCTTCCACTCGTTCTATTTGATCAATATTACTTTTTTTGGCTGCAAAAAAATTTTTACATTTGAATTTTTATCAAAAAAATGAACTTTTTAATTAGTAAATAAAACATTTTGAAGCTATCGTTGTTTATCAATTGTGAATCATTTTCCGTTTTATAGCATAACAATGAAACGAAAGTTTGATGCTAATGGTAAATAAGCATATTATTTTAAGCATACATATTTGGTATTAGTATTTAATACCTTTTTAAATTTGATTTTAAAAAACTGAAGAAGTTTCCTTGAATGGAAAAATTTAAAAAAATTTACCGAAAAAAAAAGCGCTACAAATTTACGTAATTCATATGGTTGAATAATAGCCATTGATTACTTCCATATAACCATAATCATTATTTGATTTATAACGCAATTATTTGAATTTTGAAAATTAATTTTAATTAACAATGATATATGATTGGAATTGAGCATTATTATTATCGATTGACGTGGAAAAAATGATGTTCGTAAAAGCGAAATATTTTAGGAAACGAAAATTAAAAATTCAAAATTCACAAATCCTCATAAAAGTATCCTATCACTGTTATTTCATAATTGCTTCTATCACTAATATACTAGTATGTACTATCTAAT